GTACTTCAATCAAGGGACACTTTACTGCAGGAAGCTGAGACAATGCAATTAAATACATTTAACCAAAGACAGCAGAAAAGGCACTGCAGAAGTCAAGTAATTTGTGCATATAAACAGATTTTGAGAAGAGAAGAAAAAACTTACTCAACCTAAACCCAAATATACATTTAGCTAAATGTCTGGCTTTCTAAAGTAAATGGAAACATTGGGGATAAAGTTTACAGAGCACAATGTGTAAGTGATTGTGAAGCACTGAAACTAAAAAAATATGAGATGCGAGTATGAAAAGAAAATTGACAGTGATAGATTTAATTGCTGTCATATTAAAAATATCAAGTAAATTTTTAGTTTTTAAATGGAGCACGTGGCATCTAAAGGGGAAAAATATTATCTGTGGAACTTGTAGGTTTCTTGACTTTTTTAGCATAGAAAATAAAAGCACTGTAGAGTAAAAGAAAGTTAATTTTGATTAACAATCAAGCTGTCCTTCTCAATTTCTAGCAGTTGCTTTTGATCTGACTGGCTAGTTTGAACCAAACCTGGCAGAAAAAAAAGTATGTTTTGGTCACAGCTCTGTGCAGGAAAAGGGAAAACGGGACATTCCTACCTAGTGCCCCATGGAGGCAGAAGCTTCAGTGACTGTTCAGTCATCAGTATGGCTGCCTGGTCGCCTGTCAATAGACCATAAGTGATCCAAACCCTGGGCTGCCTCTTGCTCTGGCATCATTTATAATGCCTTGGATGAAAGCAGCCTTACCGCTAGGTTACACGGAAAAAAAAAAAAAAATCAAAAAAGGAGACCAGGTATTATACTTCACTTTTTGAGAAACAGCTTATGCTTTACTAATATGTATACAAAACAACAACAAAAAAAAAGCTTTGTTTTTCTTTGTACTTTACAAACAAAACAAAACAAAACAAATAAACCCCAAAACCCAAAAACATTAAGTCAAGCAAAAAATGAAAATCACACACCACTTTCACTGGCTTCAATCACTGGCTAAGATGGTACCATTCAATTAATATGTTTAATATTTTTTTTCATCTCAAAAGATGGATTAAGGTTTAATTTACTACAACTTATTTAAATTTTACACTGAGGATGGCAATTGCTACTTTCCAATGAGCATCTGTATCTTATTCCTGGATTCAGTACAAGTGCTTTCTCACTAGTAATGACTCTATCCTCACAGTATCCTCTCAATAAACAGCTCTGTTATTCCATTTTACAAACTGAAAATAGAGGTGCAGAGAGATTATTGAACAATGACCATCAGTTTTGATGCAATTAAGTCAACTTTTTTCCAAATATTGCAGACCAGACAGAGCTACTGGGGTTTGAAACAACTCCCCTTGAGTTGGTAAAAACTATGAGTGCTAGTCACTTTTGCAGATCAAATTCTATAACCTCACATCATGAAATATGATATCTGTATGACATGAAACATACATAATCATAAACAGATTTTATAACACCAACAGAAAGAACAGCACTGAAATCCTTTGAACTCCAGCACAGTAAAGTAGCACAGGGTTTCCCCAAATTTAACTCTACTTGAACCCACTTTCTTTTTAAGAAATGCAGGAGGGGAAATGCTCACGAAAAAATACTCGGTGATAAGCAGCTATTTATGTATAGTAATGCATTCCAATGATTAATTAGTCCAGTAAGAACACACCCATTATTTGAAGTCTGAACTTGCTTAATTCACCTTCCAACCACAGAACTGTGGTACACCTGTGTCAGCTGAAGAGAAGCTTTTATCAAATACCTCTTTGCCAAGTAGGTGCACACTGACTAATGAAGAAGCCCTTAACACTTCCTTAGCTAAGCTAAACAAAGTAAGCACCTTATGTCTTCATTACTAAGACCGCTCTCCCCCAGCCATTTTCAAGACTGTTCTCTGGAAGCTGATTTTTCATCATCCTTCCTGGACTGTCAGCACCAGATGTACTGCTCCAGTGACAGTTATAGCTGATACCTCCTAATTCTCAATTCCCTTGCTCAACTACTCAAAATTTGTTACCAGAACTTTAGCTACAGCCAAAAGGATTGCCTTCAAGTTCAAATCCAAATCCTATCATTTATCAACTCCAAACTTGTTGCCCAACTTAGTATTTAGTTGCACTGATTCTGCTATGAAGTTACGTGTCCCATTTATTAATTATCTAAATCACTTTGCGACCTTACTAACGTTCTTAGTCCCAAATTTATGATTTTCTAGGTAGGTAAAAACATCTGAAATAATTCCAACACAGTTATTTACAATGAGAACCTCTGAGATTCTGTTGCAATGTATGCAACAGCAGACTGATTTGTAGCATGCACCAACATCTGCAGATGCATAACACTGACATTGGATTTTGCACGTTAGTCATACACGGCCTCGCTTAGGGATCTATGTTTGCAAGAGAGCAAATCTCTAGCCAAGGCCCTCCTAGAATTCTCAACTAATAGGACTTAGATTTTATTTTGTAACATGAAATTTAGCAAATCTTTAAAATACTCCAGAACCAACCAACAAGCAATGTTTATTAAAGATGATGATAAATGAAAATAGAGTTGGGTTTTCATTGAATAAACTGATAAATCTAATCAACAGGTGCTTTAAAAACATACAAGCTTTCCATCTGTGTATTTACATGTCATTATAAAGCTCTATAAGGATTTTATTTAAAAGGCAAGACCTTTCAGGGACCAGTTCAAAAAGATGAAGGCTGTGACCACAGCACAAGTTCTCGCCCAAAATTCCAGAACTCCTTACCCAAGTGTTCACAGTCAAAAATAGTAACAGACCAGCACATCAGGTACTGTAGACGTCTTAAAGCAAACATATCAGCTCTAACATAATGGAAGCCTTTAGATTTTCAAGGTTTATTTTCTTCTTACATAGGGAAAATTAGGATCACAGTCTTAGGCTACTCCATACTGTCCAGTTTTAAGACTTTTGTGCATATCAACACTGTCACTCTGACTAAGCAGGACAGCAGCCTGAACTGTCAGACATTCAAAGCCAGCTCAGTTTCACCATTTCAGTGAAGGTGGAGGGAGGGGCAGGGGCTGTCTAAAGGAGAAGAAAATACAGAAATAGAGAAAAAATAGTATCTTCTCTTAAAATTTCTCCCCTTTTTCAAAGCGCTGCTTAATATTTTCTCAAAACATCAGAGGGCACATACTTACACACAACTTCTTCCTGGCTTTTTAAAGCACTGACTAGGAAGCTATCTTTTGTTCCTGAACCTTAAAGGCACTTATATAGGGTTTAATCTTCTCCATAAAAAGTCTTTAGAAATCACATGGCAGAAGGAAATCTATTCCTCTTAAATTACATCAGCCAGTTCCACACCTCCTGTTACTGGTGTCATAGTTTCTGTGACCTCAGGAGTGTCAGAGTGAAAAGGTCCTACCAGTCTTACTCACATTCTTACCTCACTTTCTCTCTTAGACTGGAGTGATGAGTAGGTTACCCATACCAGGAAATACTTTCAAGAGTTGAGTTTCAATGGCATCCTCTGAAATGATCCTTCATGCATGAACACACACACAAGAACATTTATACAGTCTAAAGCACTTTTCAATCAGTTCTACCCAGTCCCTGCCCCCTGGGTGTCCATGTCTTCCTTTTTATTTTATGGGCAAATCCACAAACAAGGATTTCCTGAGCTGTTATCCCCCTTTCCGCAGAAATTAACACACATTATCAGCCACAAAAGGAATTTAAGGTGTTCCAGAGTATTAGGCCTTTTGAGATTCTATTAACTTGAGTAAAGGGGACAGACAAAAAAAACCCTTCAACTAGCCAGGGTATGGACTACTTAGAGTGACATTGCAATAGAAGGGAACCATCAGGGTTAAACAATATTTAATGGCAACAAAATAAAATATTCAAGGAAAACAAACAAACAAAAAACAAAGCACTGAAACAGCTGGAGAATCCTGTCCCTTATTTGAAGTCCTAAATGTAAAAAAAAAAAAAGAACAAAACAAACAAAAACCCACACACAAAAAAAACAAGAAGCAAAACAGTTACTGTTCTTCCATTTCCCAACTATTTTTCAACTGGTACCTGTCAGAGACTGAAACAGTTAATGATTTATGCATTCTAGGATTGCCAGGAGACTTTTGCAGGCTTTTGAAGGACTTTTGCATTATAACTATGATGGGCAGCTGGGTGCATCTCCCCCTCCAGTGCTGCTGAAGGTGTCAAGCCCTGAAAAGGCGAGAAGAGCTGTGTTTACCATGCCCTCCACACGAACTCTGCGCTGGGCTGTCCGAGATATTGAAGGTTCATGGCATGACCCATCAAAGCCCATCCTCCCTCTCTGCCAATCTTGAAAGGCTGGAAAAACCCTTTTACCAGGCCCCACACAGGCCCAGGAGACGCTGGAGGCTCACGGCATGGCCCGGGACACTACCCATGGATGCAATAACTCATAACTTCTTTGAGTGTGGGGGCTTCCCTCCTTCGCCCCCAATGGATCAAGGTCACCACTTCAACTAAGAGACATGGAAGCTGCAACTACCAAGTTTCATCACTGGACCCCGTGGGCAGTGACTATATACATCTTTCCACTCTCATCTTTTCTTTCCCTCACTCTCCCTTACCCTTATCCTGTTTTTCCTTTCTCTCTCTTATGTATTTTCCCTTAAGGTTATCTTTATGCCATATTGCTATAAGTGATAGGTATAGGTGATAACACTCAAAATGCTAACATACCTGTTTACCTTTGAAACAAAATTGTTCTAAAATAAACCCTACGTATACATGTCTTCAAGCATTGATTATTCAGTGTCGTTTCACTCTAATCCACCCCAAGGGATTTATTAATAAGAACCTGGGTAACCTCCTCACTTTTCTGGGGCAGGTTGTAACAGTACCTGCTTGAAGATTTCTGCTAGAATAATTTTCTGGGTTTCATCTTCCTGTCATTTTCATTCTTTTCCAATTTTATGACTTCATAGTCTAAGGTAAAAACTTAAGCAAGGAGGAAGAACTTACTGGTATTGAGAACTCCTCTGCCAAATACTTCAACACTGATGCTCCTCTAGTCAAAAAGTTACTTCTCTCTGCCAGATTGCCTTGAAGTTTTGTGTCAAACTCCTTTCTGACAACTGAAGCGACAGAGTCAATTATTATGAGTTTAACTTTCTTTGAAATAATTTCTTCTTCCAAAGACATAATCCTAAAAAAAGAAAAAAAGAAAGTCACTGATAGCATTACTTACACAATAGAACCATTTTATAACTCTGAAATTGTTTAAATAAAAGAATTCCTCTAATAAGCTGAAAGTCAGCCCTTCTTTTTCCCTCCTCACACACCACCTCCACTAACATCTACATGTATTGAAGAGATTTGGAAAGGAATCTGAGGCTCACTGGTCCACATACCTCAAGGCAGAATCTCTCCAAAAGAGAAGATTTGGAAGAATCTCTAGTTAGCAAGACTATGCCGTACCACCCCTGAATGGCAGATGGCAAGTAAAGTGGACATGGAAACTGTGCTTTTTAGCTCACAGTAGATGCATCCCATGGTCCACTCCAGATTCCTTGGTGTCTATGTATGTAGAAGGTCAAATACATCTTCGCATACTTCCAAACCTAATTTGTTAATAAGGATAGATGCCATCCAGAGGGACCTGGACAAACTTGAGAAGTGGGCCTGTGAGAACCTAACGAAGTTAAACAAGACCAAGTGCAAGGAGCTGCACCTGGATCAGGGTGGTCCCAGAGACAAGTACAGACTGGAAGAAAGTGTAATTGAGAGCAGCTCTGCAGAGGACTTGGAGGTCTGCAGACAAAAAGTTGGGCATGAGCCGGTAGTGTGCGCTTGCAGCACAGAAAGCCAACCATATCCTGGGTTGCAGCGAGAGGTGTGGCCAGCAGGTCAAGGAAGGTGATTCTCCCCCTCTACTCTGCTCTCATGAGACCCACCTAGAGTACTGCATTCAGTTCTGGGGTCCTCACAGGAAAAACATGGACCAGAGGAAGTCCTCAGGAGAAGGGCTACAGTGATGAGCACATCTCCTACGAAGACATCCTGAGAGAGCTGGGGCTTCTTCAGCCTGGAGAGAAAGCAACTCCAAGGAGACCTCATTGCAGCCTTCCAGTACTTTAAGGGAGCTTATTTATAAGAGGTAGAGCAACTTTTTACATGAGCAGGTAGTGACAGGACAAGGGGAAATGATTTTAAACTAAAAGAAGAGAGATTTAGATTAGTTATTAGGAAGAAATTCTTTACTCAGAGGGTACTGAGGCACTGGCACAGGTTGCCCAGAAAAGTTGTGGATGGCCCATGCCTGGAAGTGTTCAAGGCCAGGCTGGACAGGACTCTGAGCAACCTGATCTAGTGGGTGGTGTTCCTCACGATTGTAGGGGGTTGGAACTAGATGATCTTTAAGGTACTTTTCGACCCAAGACATTCCATGTTTCTACAATATGCTACTAGCTGTTCTCTGATAAAGCTGCATTAGAAGATAAAAGTATCCTTAGAATAGTTCTCTCACTAACATAAAACACGCAATATGATGATAAAATATAACTTAATTAATTTTCATTGCAAAATATGTTCACAAATTAACATAAGGTAACAGCATGACAATACAACACTGCCAACAACAAGATTCATGCTGATGACTCTTAAACAATTCCTTCCTCCCACTGCTGGAAGGGTTCCTGTCTTCCTGGAAGGAAACTGTGCTTTGGAGGAACAAGATCCTCTTCAATGGACAATGCAACTCTTATACTATGGTCCCTCCACAATCCAAGAGACGACCTGTCTCATGAACATCTCCTTTAAAGGTTTACGGGGATCAGATGACATAGAAATTGTCTATCAGAAATTTAAAAACATCAACCAGATTAGTCACATGCTATGAAATGAAAAGACCAACGAAATGAAAAGAGTAATGTCAATCTTTCTGCAGTGCTACTTTGCTGGAGACCATGCTGTTATCCACATGAAAAGGTCTCAAATAAATTAATTACTCTTCATAAAACTTTTATATAAAACAAATATTATTATAGACAATCAAGTCAAAGTGGTGTTGAATTTCTATTTTAAACTCTGGAAAAGAATACCTCTGCAGTACACTGCAACAGGTCAGTTCTCGATAGAGGTGAATGCTACGGGTCATGCAGAACACCTTTTCATCCGAGTCAAAATAAGTAGGGAATCTGTTTCCTGCTATCTCAATCAACCTATTAAAAAAAAAAGAAGCAAAACCAGAATGTATATCACAGCAAAAAGAATAATGTATGATAATAAGTCATGAAATATTCATGAAGCAAACACAGCAAACCACTGAACCATAAGCAGATACCAGGTAATACTGGAAAGCTTTTAAAAAGGAAAAACATACTTTATCAGTCAGACTGAAATACTGGAAGTCAGAACAGTTAGGTTCTCTTCTCAGTGATGCTCAGTCAGTGGTACACAAGGGAAAGACATAATGTGTCTGTAAACAAAGAAAGATAATATCTCCTCTAGAAGGAAACTGCAAAGTTTTTACTCAATGCAAAGTTCTTCAAATTTTATACAAGAGGTTCCACTCAATGATCAAACATTCTCCTATTCTAATTATTGTATCTAAATACTATTTCCATTTAAACAATACTAGTCTCCAACTCAAACCATCTTCCCTTTCACCTTTATCTTGTGGGGAAATCATAAAGTGTCACCACAGAAATTTAACAAGCTGATAAGAAACAGAAGATCCAGCCAACATGGAAGCAGGACTGCAAAGAACAGAGTCCAGTTCAACTTCAACTACTTATGCAAGCAGTACATATATGGAAAGTTTATCTGACAAAGTGAAAATCTTTTCACAGATAATCTCTCCTTAAAAACACAAATAAGGTCATTTGGATGGGTGATTGTTTCTGTTTTGTCAGTTACCTATTTGTAAAAATGGCTTATAAAATGTTACGAAAATCCACTTTTTAGAACACTGCAAAAAAACCAGAATCCAAACAGCATTGTGTCACAAAGTGACTGAGGCTCCAGCTGCCCGGCAACTACAACTGAACATCCACCCATTCAGATACCACAGGTACAAATAGCATGACTTGATACAACAAAATTACTAGAGCATTTAAGTGTCTGCTTTACTGACAGAACTGAATGTGGGATTCCATGATTAAATGTTCTCTATTACCTTATTAGCAAATTCATAAAACTTCAAAACCTTGAATTACAGTTGCTAAGCATACCACTGTTTATTATCAGAGTCGACTAAAGAAGCATATCAGATAACTGGTGATAACACTGAAAGAAGTTAGAGGAAGTTGGATTTTTTTTGTTTATTTGTTGCCAAAATACTTTCATAATCAGAAATTATGACTTGGAAAAATTCCATAGATGTAAAACTAAACAATTTTCAGTTAAATTGTATTTTATACACAAAATCATTGAGGAAACTGAATGGTATGCATTTTAGAAACGCTGACTGCCTACAAACCCTACGAAGCCATGGGAAAGAAGTTCTACTCCTCTGAACACAAAGCAATTTTATCTAGGTCCTTAAAGAGATGATATAAGAATTTAACTTTGAAAATCACAGTTATAATCTGCACACTGAATTTTTTTCCATAATGAAAGTTTTATTTTTTTATAACAGAAAATGCTTAATTGTTTGTATTTTAAGCAGACATATCCCACTACCTATAGCTTGAGTGGCTTCTAGTGGATTATACTTGTGGGCACAACTTACTGTTATTATCTCAATGCTTTTGATTTAGACCCCTTTCATTAAAATAAGTAATGTTAAAGCTATTTTAGGGAAAAAAAATTAAAATCCATTTTATCTGGTTTAAAAATAGAAGCACTAAGCTTGAGTGTTAAGATACCTACCCTGAGCAAACAATTTCATTTTAATAGCTTGATTCTCATTCAATAAATACATTACTTATTACACATAAACTTGTCCTGCAGAACTTCCAGAGACAGAATTTTGTCTGCCCACCTGCACAATTAATCATGCAGATCATTTGGGCAACAGTGAGCTGCCATTCAACAGTCTGCAGGAAATGAGATTTCACTGTGCTTTCTAACGAGCATGCACATCACAAAGAACATCGTTATACTGAACAACATAAAGTGATACACGAAAATCTTGCCAAGATTGCAGCACTACCCTTAAGAGTTCCACGTGGATTCAAAGTTCCTTAATATCTAAATCCTGTTTGTCATGATGAGACAAAAATCTTCACAGAACATGTTTTCTGCAATCAGGGCAGATCCATTATGTATACAGATAATCTGTTCTCAGCTTTGGTTCACAGAAATTTGTACCTAGTGTTTTTCACAAGCAATAAGTATGACTAGCAAAAAAAGCCAACCTAACAAATTCTTTTCAGACTTTCTGAGTACGTCTGTTATGTTTTCAGTAAATAGCTGGGTACTACAAAACTGATGACAACAATTTTGATTTCCAGACTTACTACAGCCCTTTCGTCTACCTGTCCTACTGTCCACGTTCTGACAAAGAGGAATGACAGACACCATCTGCACTGTTACAGCTGTCTCTTATAAAAATAGTGCCAGCTAAATGTCTCCATCTGGCCCTTTAAATTAAGATGCTATTAAATTAATATTCTGTGATTTCCCTTCTTATCTGAGGTGTTTAGAACAACAATAAAACCAAAATATCTTTTATTTACCATCTACTAATAATACAGGATTATAGAATCTTAAGAAAATTCAAGTTAGGAAGAGAACGCATGAAACTTCTAGGCCAAAAAATTGTTCAACATAGAGCCAGCTATTAAGTTAGAACAAGTTACTTGAGTCTTTACCTATTTTGGAAGCCTCCGAAGATGGAGGCAGCACCACCTCTCTGGACAACCTTTATTTTACCACAAAGACAGTCAGGAATTAGAAAGCTTCTCCATATAACAGCACAGAAATGGATTTCAATCTATGCCTGCTGGCCCCCTGCCACACATCACTGTGCCATCTTCTCCACGGCCTCCTTACTGGCAAGAGAAGGCTTCTGTGAGATTTCCCAAAGCCTTCTCTCCTCTAGACCGAGCAAGTCCTCAGTCTCTCCACAAACAGCAAGTGTTCCCGCCCCCAACCATCTTGGTAGTCCTTTGCTGAACTTCCTGCAGTTTGTCCTGTATTCCTTATACTGAGACTCCAAAACTGGACCCGGAATCTAGGTGCAGTCTAACACATACAAACTAAAAGGGGATATGTACCTCCCTCACTCTGTTGGTCCAGCTCCTTAGAGATTGCAACACAAAAACTATAAGATATAGTCAGTCTGCTGAAATTGTGTTTATCATTTCCAATTGAGTAATACTATATATGATTTAATACATAAATATACTCATCCTTAGTAATAATGTTATTTTCATCACATTTCCATTCTATGTAATATTGTATTTTCAGCAGTTTCATTTTCATGTTCACCTGATTTCCTTTTCTTTAGCATTCACTTCTAAACAACAAGTCTTAACTCACTCGTTGGGTCCTCCTACTCTTTTTTACTATTTACATTTCAGGGATCTGAAATGAAACCTAAGTGCTATGTAAGGGGGGAAGTACCATATTTTGCAGAGCCATTGCTTGAAGCTTTTTTTCTTTGACATATTACACTTCAAACTTTTGTGAAATTAACTTGATAAAAAACAGGGTTAGAAACCCAACTTTCTCATCCATAACTTCAAATGAATAAACAATGCAAACAGGTTTGCTTTGATACTCCAGATTCGGGCCACGGCTATAATTACAAAATCACCTGAAATATCTAAATTCTTTCAAAGAATATTTTTCTGCCCATTTTTCTACACAAACAAGCATGTGACTACTGTACTTCTTGTCCTCTCTCAGACCCTTATGACCTTTTGAACTTGCTCATTCCAAACAACAGGGGAAAAGGAATAGAAATTTCAAAAAATATTAAATCCTCATTGTTTAGAAAAGTTGGTAGTTAAGTAAAGTAAATCAGAGCTACCTTTAATGAAACACTGCAGGATTATTTCAACGGTTAATCACTCAGTCAACATGGGGAAGAGCGGCAACCAATACATGCATATGTCTGTTCTCTCAAGCAAATACAGAACATAGTGTCTCCTGTACATTCAGACCACTGTAAGTACATAGCTGAGCAGTTTCGGTCCAATGGGCCAACGAGACATTAGAAAAATGAGAGATGTTATAGAGGTAAGGCAGTATAGTAATGTATGGCTGCTAAGGATATAGGAAAAATGCGAGCTCACTCAGAAGGAAACCAGAAGTGCAGAAGGACACAGGGTTCCACTCAGAAGTAGGAAAGAAATCTGAAGGAAAAGTAGCTATGTCAGTCCTACTGTTCACCAAAAAAATCTGTTTCCTTTGTAGTCAAAATGAGGGGCCTTTACATCCTCAAAACCTTCCCCTTAACTCCACAAACTAAATTGCAAAGAAAGATTTCAGGTACAAGACTGTTAATAACATCTATAAATTGAAGAGCATGCCATCCACCTTGCCATACCAGAAACTGTAATCTGCAACATCATTCAAATTAGGAAGGTGAGCAAACCATTCTATTAAATTAATTTCAACATCTATGGAATAACTGCATATACCAGAGGAATGGTTAATAACTACCACAGGTATCTAAAAACGCATCATTATTGCTCAGAAAATAATTGAAGGCTCCAAGATAAAAGGTCCTAAGAAGTGTATACTTTAGATTTTTGCATCTTACCTTTCAGCACTGAATGTAGACTCTGTGTCAATGTATATAACTGCCCCATCTAGTCCTCCCATGCTTAGAGGCAGTGTAGCCAGAACACTCAGCATAATACAAAATTGAGTTTTGCCACAACCTGGTGGGCTAGTTATCTGGAAGAAAAAAGATTAGTAACATAACATTCATTTTACATAATCGTACTTTTATCTTCAACCCATCAGACCATACTCAAATTTTGCTCCTTCAGCTACCACAGGAGGAGACAGACATGAAAAGACAGAATGCAGCCCACAAAGGGTAACTTTGAGTTACTGCTTTGCAGTCAGACTCACTTTGCAGTCAGAATAAACAGCTTTACAGACCCAGCATTATGCTTGCACTTTATTTTTTTTGACATCATCATTACTTTTCAAATTTGCGGTCCTCTACTCTCTCCCTCACTCACAAGATCCCCCCTAGAGACACCTAGTTCTCTTCCATCCCTGTGCTACCTCCTAAAATAGAGAAGAATTAGACGATTCACAGTTGACATTCATTCACAGTTGACATTCGTTCACAGTTGACATTCACGTGTCACCAATGGCCTTTAGAGCTGAAAACAAAGTCCAGAGCTAATGAGCTCACAGATGTAAATGACTGCTTAGGAATCATCATTACTTTGGTTAAACCAGGTCTCCCTTGGAAATCACAAGGATAATTGCTTATATCCTGTAAAGACTGAATGTTCAGTGTGAACCATATATATACATAAAACAGATTTTATCTGCCCCAGAGACTACACTCTGCTCTGTAGTATGTATTCTTTCATTGGTGTTAACTCCCTATTACCATGTTTCAACACCAACACCATTCAGTGATCCAGACCAGCTTGCCAATTCTAAGATTTCACCTGTGCTCACTGAAAGCCCCCTGTGGTTAAGGGTCCAGTACAATTTTGATTGAAGAGAAAAACCACAGGGATCCAAAGAATACACTGTCTGATGAGATCACCAGTTTCTGAGAAGAATATTTTTCTACTAGAGATGGCAGTCTGCTGTTCTTTATCCACTGTAGATTTTGCAGAGATTGTACATGAATGCTGGGCTCTCTGTTCAGATAATTGTAAGTTCATTACTACTATGGCGAGTCTTTAAATACAATCCCACATTGTAACTGCTTCTGGGAAGGGAGATGATGAAATCTTAAATACTTAAGAGGGCTGAAAAACAGCTGAGTGACTTTAGGCACTAAAAACAGAGCGATGGGTTCATTCTGATGCTAGTAGGTAAAAGCAAGCCTCTCCAGGGAAATTAAACTCCAAAATGAAGCATACCTCCTCAAAACACCTAATACTGCCAAAAAGAAACCTTAAAACAGAGAGACACTCAAAATCAAACTGATTTTTGAGACTACACACACTAGAGTTTGGTTTTAAGCACAGACACCCTTTAACCACTAGGTATTACAATATTGCTATGGTTTTAAGTAGCAGCAGCATGAGTTGAAGCACAGAAAATTTACAGGGAAGGACCACATTAGCTACAGTTAACAGTTGGTTAAAATCCCTTTAATCATCTTTGTCTTTAAACAAGGCCTGAAAGCCAAGCCATATCAATCTACTTGAAGCTTTGATGCAACAGAAGCTTTAGATGATTTTTATTTAGAAGCACACATTGCATTTAGAGAATTAGAGATCAGGAATCAGTCGTATTTATGCAATTATCTGTCCTTCAGCCAGTGCACTTAAATTACAGAATATCATATCAACAATGGCTGCTACATTTTAATCTAAATCCAAAGCATATATAAAAAATGCAGAGGCAATACACATTCCTTAGACTGTGATAGCCAAGGAACCTCACCAGCTGTTTCTGGTTAAAAAGAAGACTTGAAATGAATAAGGGGAGGGCATCAATCCAATTGTTAAAATAAAATGTTTAGATAACTGTGATGACATCCCGTAAAAATGCTTGTAATTTCAGCCTTGCCTGGGAGGTGCACTGGAATCAACATTTCAGTGGCTGATGCAGGAACTAATTTAGCAGAGTTGCTATAAAAATGTCTGAGGATATGAGCATCATATCAGAGAAAGAGAAGGAACTTTGCAGGAAGCAAGCCAATTGAGCAGGAGAGCATTTCTATTCCCAAAAACAATACTTCATCTTTCATCAGTATTCCTTTAAAGGGCATTAAAACAGACTTTTAAATAATCCACAGTAAACAGTTTTAAACTACATTTTATTGTAGTTACTACAGGTTCAGCGAGTGTTTCTGAACACTACCATCCTAGTTAAAATTCCTCTAATATAATTTAAATTGAATGTCAGCAAAAAGTTTGCTTGGTTTGTTTTACTCTGAATTTGCTCAGAAAAAAAAAAAATCACCCAAATAGAAATGTGAAGACTACAACAGTTTTTAATTTACCTCTGCCTAATAAAATATACTTTTATTTTTCAATAAGCTATATATTATTTTCTCTGGTACACCTGGAGGGTTTGGATGAAGTCACAAGGAGCTAATTCTTCTTCAGCTACCAGGAGATTAATTCTTCAATATTCACAAAGTAATTAATTTAATTTTTCCTCATACGAGCTGGCCTAAAGCTCTGACATTTGACCACAGAATTTCAGCTATGATTTAATTTCCTACTTAAAATCTCACAGTGGTTTGGAAAAAAAAAATGGTCTGAGACAGTGTAACACAAATCAAATCCCTCTGGTACTCAAAACGCAAGCGGCTTTGGCTGTAGAAGACACCACCACAAGTCTTAATCTTGTGGCTCATGCACTCAAATTCCAAGTTTCCAGCCACCATTAGTGCTGGGTAAACCAACAGGAAGACAGTGATTTAGCCACACCAGTCAGGAAGTAAATGCTGCACCAGCATACTTTTGAACAGAACTTTCTACATTTAATACCTGAAAAGCAAATAAAAAGCAATACATATTTATTTTTTTTTAGACCTCTAATCTCTTGAGTTATTAATCTAATTCCCGGAGTCTACCTAGTTCTCCATACCATATTTCTGACTAAATAGTTATTATGTATCAGTATTGTCAACCAAGCCCAAGGTACAGGTGAAAGAACGCAGTGCTGGCAGTTCTTGTACAGACATCTACATCGCTGTCCGTCAGCGAGATCCCCCACTGAAGAGAACTGCACCAGGCAGGTCTTCTCACTCTTAACCAAAATATGTTAGAATACAAAAAACATTCAAAAGCTTTTTTTCAGAAGAAAACTTAAAGTGAAACACCTTTCCTGGTGCAGTGCTTTTCATTTACAATTAGATAAAAGTTCAGCCTACCTTTGAATATATTAATTCCCCCCAACTAATTTTAAATACTGATGCCTTAAGCCCCTAATGGTTTTTTATTTTTCTAATATTTGTAAGACTTGTAAGTTTTATAAGTAGGTTTTAAAAGCAGAAACCCTTCCCTTCTTTGTCCCTTGTCCCTTTCCCTTTCCCTGTAGCACCCTTGTTTACATATTCCTTAACCCTCTTACCCCATTCTATCCTCCCTATATCACTCATAGCCCCAAATCTAATAGAAATGTTTAGTCTTTTGTCAAGGCAAGGCCTAGACAGTTGACAGAACAGCATATCTGGGCCTAAACCACAGAATAGGTCAGGAATTAGGTAACTATGTACCCTTTGTGCTCTGATGATGATGAAGGTGATGAAGTAGGTGGTCCCAAAATGCACCCCAGACCCATTTTCAGGGGGTGGACCCCGGGGCGGTCCAGAGCAAAGGCCACAGGGTGGACACATCTGGGATTGGATGGATGGTATTATAAAATGTAACCTCTCAGGCACAGGGGCGTGCGTCTTGTAACATCTTCTGCCTTGGCAAATAAACCCTTTCTTATCTCACCCCTAATTAACTGCTCCGGAGATTTTTTTCAGCACCTAAATCCCACGGCAACAATACGATGATACATAGAGGGTATGACCATTGTTAAAATAGAGATTAGCAAGTTTCCCAGATTTCCTCATATCTAAAGAGATAAGTATTTTAAGGAAACACTGAGGTGAAAATATTAAAATTGGGTATTGTGAAAATCGACCAGGCTACAAAGTAGTGCGAAATATACAACACAGCAAAATTAAGCATTCGCATTAACTTCCTGTAGAGCATTATTTTATACCATCTCAGGAAAATTATATTTGACATCCACAGTTTAAGATCAACTGCTTGGTTAGCTTACTTCAAAATAAAATTAACAAAAAGGAAAAAAAAAGAAAAAAACACCAACACAAAACCTAGAAGTCAAAGGTTAGCTAAGCTCCCCTAAAACTCCCAGCATGTCAACCACTGCTTTTCCCAGATCTCCCTCTGAAGCAATGCCAAGAACATGGCAATCAGCAAGCCTGAATTCTATTATGCTCCAGAGCCATTCTACCTGGTCTTCATGCAAGAATATGTCAGATACACCACACTGATTGCTGAATGATAGGTCCAATTTAGGATTAAAAACAAAGACAAATATTCATCGCAGCAGCCTCGTAAAATAACTGTGTGGCTCTGTGGACCCAAAATCACATCAACTTGGTTTTTAAGCACAAAAAAATATTCCATATTCAGTACTCCAAATATTTGGGCACCACTCATGAGCCAGTCAGTCCTATCACAGAAAAGACATCTCTATTCTACTTTTTTCTCCCACTTGCACAGCAGTGGCCCTGTATTTCAACTAAACCACAATTCAGACATTTAAGCAACATAAGCATGGGAACAGCCATTCTCTGCCTTCAGGAAAAAAAAGGTTAGTAGACCTCATGGAAATCCTGGAAATCCACATCCTAGCTGAAAGTGAGCATCATTTCATTTCAGACATGGACTATGCTATTTCATCAGTTCACTGGATGAACAACAAGAGATAAGAAAAGACATCAAAGTACACCTAGTGTAGTCACTGCTTTGCTGATAAAAATATTTTCAGCAACTAAAAACTCATCTCCTGCTGAAGGCACTATCCTCAACAGCAGTATAGTTACAATGTCAGGACCATGCATACAGGAACAGCTCTTTCTTCTTCAATTAAACCGAATTTAGCAAGCTATTTCTCCCAGAATTTAAAGACTCCCAGTGTTGATCTTAAGTTCTTCTGATCCAAATTTCTTATAGTAGATTGACAACAAAGTTAGGCCTAGATATGAGAGATCAATATAAGTTCTTAATCAGTATGTGTTCTTAAACATTTTTATGACCTGAATGGTGTATATTCCTGTACATCATAAACAAAAAGAAAGACTCAAGAATCTTTAAAAACTAATATCCCCTCATTACATAAGAGTTTACTAGAGCAGAAACTGTTTAGTCTAAACTCAGTGTTGCTTAAACACTAGTATGTTTTAAGTCACTATCTGTTTTCATAAGTCATTTCTATCTGAGATCAAAATCAATCTAGTTTGATTATAAGGTGTGGAAAAAATTTATTTTCTTCACAGTATGATTTTCATAACTTCTCACTTTTAGTCCTCTACAAAGAAAAGCACTTGTTAAGGACTGTCAAAGTGTTCAAGGGAAAAAATTGTTTCAACCTGTCTATATTCAGAGCATGACTCACACAATATATAGGTCTTCTACAGGGCACAGCTGACCTCAGAAATTTAAGAGAGCAAGTACGGTCACACTGCATAAAAGTGTCCATCTAGCTCTGGATTTGTCGCTAACAAGAACCTACAACAGATAGCGTGGGGAATAACCCAGGAGCAGGGCACACATATAATGATATTCTCTCCAATATATAAGTTTCTCCAACTCCATTTGCAGGTCAGCAAATTCCTAGTGCAACCAGAGATTGCATCTTTGTATTTTTATAATACTCTGTGACTCCTATGAGCATCTACACAAATCCCACCTTTCTGGATTATAGAAACTATGCATGTTATCACTTTCCATGAGGCCATAGAGAAATCCAGATACTAGAACAATTTAACTGTAAATAAAATTTAAAGAAAAAAAAGTAGCATTATCCAAAGTCTAGAGAGTGACAGTTAAATAGATAGAGAGATATGTAATCTGTAGTTCTGCAACTTTCCCACTGCAAAATCCAGCCAACAATTCTCCCGAATTTCCTGTGAAAATTTTCACTTTTTTTAAAGGAAAGCAAAGGAGTGATTTTTGACTTCTAGGTAGAATGTTCAACTGAATTAACATATATTAAACAGGTTACCTCTGTGAGGGACCCACAGGGTACTCCACCATGCAAGACTCTATCCAAACTACACAGCGTGGTGGATAAAAAGGCTGAAGAAGGACTGACAGACTTCCTTAGTTTCATTTCATAAGCCTATGGAAGGAGGGAGGAAAAAAACAAAAGAGAACAAACAAATCAGAAAATGCCTTTTTTTAATGGAAATAGGAGACTTGTACTTGCTTTCATCAACCTGGTATGACAACAGTTGCCAATGAGCAAAGTACTCCTATCTTCAACTATAGTCTGCTTAGTTCATCACACATTTTTATTTCCCTCACCACAATATTAAATAATAAGCCTTTAATAAAGAAATGACAGTTTTCTCCGTTCCTATTCAAAAAGGTTTGCTTTTAACCCATAAAATCCAAATTCTAAATAAGTAAACAGTATATGTATGGTTAGTGACCATTACAAAACCCTCACATGAAATCTAAAAACAAAAACTCCCTCATCGACGTTCATTATCAATTTGAAACTATGTGGGTTGAAGGAAAGTTTTGCTAAAGAGTCCCAAGTCTTTGAATAAGCCTGTGTAGGTACTCTAACCATTCATCATTTTCCACTTTGCCAAAAGAAAATCCAGCCACTGCCTTGCAGCTAATGTGTTTCCTTCTTGCACTCCCCTCAGTAGAGTTTCTTACCTATAGAGTAAGGCACACTACAGCTCATTAGAAAAAATCCTCAAGAAATTATTTTCAGGATCATTTCATTTCTCGGCACCACTTTTATATCTAAAATCAGTTCATACTGAAATTCTTAGTCTTTTTCTGTATTAAACAACTTGTTGGTTTTTTTAGTTGCAGGATCCAAACTAGAAGCAATTTTTACATGCTGGATTGCAAGAGAGGATAACCTATTTCCCTACTGCACTCAGAACAGATGCTGCAACCCTGAACAACCTCTTGAGGCTATAGCACCTAATAAATGTAACTGCATCAAACTAAAGTGTGTCAGAGATCTAAATTTAAAACCAAAAATATTACTTCATTGTGCAATAAAACCAAGACGCTCCATGCCTCCTGGCTAAAAAAGATGAGTGACAATGTTCAGGTTTTTCCCTGATATTTTATCAAAAACAGCATCAACACAAGTACACTTACTGTCTGCATTTTGGGAGCACAAGCTCGGCTGACTTTACAAAGAAGCTTCTGCACCTCATAGTAGCTCTGGCCCGTCACTTTCATTAGCTCCAAGAGGGAAAGACATAAAAAGTCCTGAAAGATAATAAAGCAGTTCAGAGAGCTCAACCTAGGAATCCAGGCTGGGGACTAAACTGATGCAATCTATATACAATTGGTACCCATTCCACAGGTTTACCAACTCTGCCACATTATACATATTATGCTGTATCTTTCCTACCTTTTCCTCATACAGTATACTAAAAGAAATCGTATTCATATTTTAAAAGACATGGAATAAGAGGACCAACCATTTAAGATCTGTGTGATGGAACTGCAACAAGATAACACCTTTTTGCCCACCTGAAACACACTAAAAACACATTTAAGTCTTCCAAATTGCAGTGCTAGGCAGAGATTCTGTATATATGATGCATACTGCTGAAATACATAGGGCCTCTTGGCTCACGGACAGCTTCTTGTCCACCAGCGCCCCCCCCCCTGCCCTGGTGAGGGGCAGAGCTGTTCTTCTCTGCAGAGCTGTTTCCACAGCTTCCCTACCTCCACAGGGGTAGTAAGTCCATAAAAGTTTAAATGTTTTAGTTAGGTATCTATCATTTTAAAGCTCTATTTTTACAAAGCAGCAGGCCAGATGGTGTCTGAAATGCCCTCTACTTCACAGAAAGTAAAGCTTCCTGTTTAATTACAAAAAAGTGAACACCACGTGCATTAAAACAACACAAACACACACAAAAAAACCACCTCTAAAATAAAAACCAACCACAAAAAAAACATACCCCGTAAACAAAATAACGCTTTCACCTGACAGGTAGTGATCTGACAGCGACTCAGCCTCTCACACAGCTCCTGAGACAACTGTGTTCTTCTTAATTTCTTAGCAGCCATGCTCCTCAACCTGCATAGCAAACAAAAAAAAAAAATTTTTGAAAGACGATTTGAATATGACTGTGCAATTTCACTCACTCTTTGCTAAAGAATAGGAAAGTGTGCACACGTGTGCGTATATATATGTATATATAAATGATACAATGTGATACAGATTTCCCCCCTAAGTCTGCATCACGGTGTTATATTACCACTCTGAAAGCATTTTTGTTAAATTACATCTCCTCATATTTGACCATGTATGAGATCATGCCATTCAGAATGGAAGAGTCAGCAATGTTTATAGGGCAGGTGTTTCTGGGATGTAAGAAAGCTGGAAATTACTCAGTCATGAGCTGAATAAGAACTCCTCATGCTATGCTGCACTGGAAAGAAATAAGTTATCTTTGGATGCCTGAACATGAATTGTAGAGCAACCACAGTAAGCATTCAGCCCTAGAACATATACTGCTAGAACACACACTCAGTTCTGGTGACCCAGGATTTGTGACAGGTGTTAGAAGAACGAAAAGCCTGAAGGGCTGGAAACATACTTTAGCATGCAAGAGTCAAGATGATCAGTCAAACTCATCTCGTAATGTTCTCTGTACAGTTTACAAACCAAACACACTCAATAAAGAATTCTTTAATTTAGCCAACAATGTAAAAGAAAACAGAACCGAAGCTGAGCATATGAAGAAGATAACTACAACATTATTTATTCAAAAAATGAACAAAAATACCACTGCACCAAGACAGCAACAATTGTGGTATACTGTGATTGAGACCTAAGCAAATTGCAGTTTTGAGATTCCTGCTTAAAGAGTATCTGATTATCTCAGATAAACTTTAAGACCATTTTATGTAGCAGGTAAGACTATTCTGCAGCTATGGATCCTTTTCCCCCTCAGTTATGTACATTTGTCCTCTTTTTTTTTTTGTCATTCCACTCTACTGAACAAAACCCCATGGGATGGTGTTTGGCTCAGTACAACCCAAAACACACATATACGTGTTTTTGAGCACATCGCTGTTTCACACATACTCTTTAGGCAACATTCGTAGTACTAATACAATTAATACACACAGGCAAGACGAAAGGTTTCATAATGCAGTAAGTGCAAAAATTGTAAATATTTGCCATGATGCAAAACTATTACAGCTTCGCAGACGCACAGGCCTCCACATCTTCAGAAGAAGGAAATTTCATTGCCCCGTCTACAGAAAACGCTCCTTACACAGGACGAAACCCAACCGTCTGACGCACCCCGGCCGCCCAGCCCAGCGGGCTACGGCGCCCTCCCACCCCATCGGCCGGGATCCCGGGATGCGCCTGCAGCCGGAGACCCAGCCCAACCCTCTCTCGCCCCGGGCAGCACCGCGAGCACCAGAAAACCCGCTCCCACCGCAAACCAGCCTCACCCCCGCGACTCGGGGGCGTCCCGCCGGGCCCCGCCAAGCCGTAACAAACCCACCCGCCCGCCCTCCTGGGGCGCAGCGCGGGCCTCGCGCACCTGAGAACTTTTTCAAAGCTTCCCCGCGGCGGGCGCGAGGAGGCGGGACCGTCGGGCCAGACCCATGCTCTCAATTGGCTGAGCTCCCGCCAATCCCCGCGCAGCGCTGGCGGCAGGCGGCACGCGGGGCATGCCGGAAGCGGTAGTTTCGGGGGAGGGAGCGAACGCGGGAGTCTGGCCCCGTGATGGCGGCGGCTCTGGCCGGGCAGCGCCCTACTGCACCCGCTCCTCTGGGGAAAAGGAGAGGCGCAAGGGGTGTTCACTGTTCATTCCGCTCGTGAAACTGAGCGCCTCCCCCGAGGCAGGAGCCTTGCACGGCGCTTCCGTGCTGTACCCTAGATATTCCTGCCGTCCTCCACACAGAAAACGTCAATAAACCCCAAAAGTCTCCAGCACGGAGCATGCCATCCGTGCGTTCAGTTGCTAGTAAAGAATATTGGATTGGTGGTTCTCGTCTTCAAACTGAGGGCTTACAGACACCTGGTGAGCTACCCGCTGTGGGAGGAATGCCTTTGGCACTGAGGAAACTATTGCCCTGTAGTGTGAATCGGAATCGATTAGGTAGGAAAAGACCTCTTGAGATCATCGAGTGCAACCTGTGACTGAACACCACCATGTCAACTAGACCATGGCACTAAGTGCCACATCAAGTCTTTCCTTAAACACCTCCAGGGATGGTGAGTCCACCACCTCCCTGGACAGCCCATTCCAATATCTAATCACCCTTTCAGTGAAGAAATTCTTCCTGATGTCCAGCCTAAACCTCCACTGGCACAGCTTGAGGCTGTCCTCCCCTGTCACTAGTTGCCTGGGAGAAGAGACCAGCCCCCATCTAGCTACAACCTGCTTTCAGATATTTGTAGAGATCAATAAGGTCTCCCCTGACTCTCCTTTTTTCCAGGCTGAACAACCCCAGGTCCCGCAACCGCTCCTCATATAATTGACTCTCTAGACCCTTTACCAGCTTTGTTACCCTTTTCTGGACTTGCTCCAGCACCTCAATGTCCTTCCTGAATTGAGGGGCCCAGAACTGGACACAGTACTCAAGGTGTGGCATCGCCAGTGCCAAGTAGAAGGAAAGAATCATTTCCCTAGTCCTGCTGGCCCCACTATTTCTGATACAGGGAATGTCTGAGTGTAACAGGTAGAAGCAGTCATAAAACATGACTGACATGAACAGCTATGGGGTGAGTCCAATTCAATACTAGAAAGTACTGAAGTTAGTACTGTGTGCATATGTTATCTGCATAATCTTTACAGTTCTACAAATTAAACTTACTGAAGAAAAAAAATGGACCAATGTTATCTTGGACATCTACTGAGAAACTGGACCTTGGGAACTGCATGGCCCAGGTTTTGTCTATTCTGAAAAAGAAATGCCACAGCAAAGCTGCAAAATACAGAACATTTCAGCCACTTTTCTAAACAAGTGATAAGGAGAAACAGGAAGAAGCTATCATGAAATGCCCAAAAACTGTAGTGTCAAAATGGTCAGCAGAATCAGTGTTTCTTTCATACCCTGAAGGGGGCTTACATATCCAAAAGAATTCCAGAGGATATAAGAAGCTAGACAGATATAAGAAGCAGCCCATACAAAAGCAACTCAGAGCTTTAGTGAATAGGTAGCTGAACAGGGAGAGATGGCATAGAGGAAGAGCTCCTCCTAGTGTAGTTGACCTTTAAAAGTTGACTTGAAAAATATAAGTCACAACTGAGAAAAGCTGTCTAAGGAAAGAGAAAGGATGTCTGTTGCTGCAGTTTAGTTTCCATGTAAACAGGAGGACATGACCATGGTATAACTCGTCATGGACTACTCATGGACTATTTCCTCCTCAATACAGGAGTAGCAGGAGCCTGACCTTCTCACCTGAGGTGCAAGAAAAAGGAGGATTGCCTTGATGACTTTTTTTCCTCCCACAAATGCATTGGGGCTTGCCATTCAGCTCCAGGTCAACAGGCTTCCTTTCCACTTTCTACAAAAACAGAATACCTGTATTAAACCAGAGAACTGTTCTGGGATGTTGAGCAAGGGAAGCAAATCTTAGCAGCCTAGTAGTTAAAAAAATTCATAAGCAAAATCAATATACCCTGGTAGCTCTCCTGCAAGTGCTTTGAATCTCATTTCTTGCTGGTGTCATGACTGTTCAACTCTCTGCTTCTCAGATCTGCAGATACACTTTTAAACCTACTGGCAAATAATTGTGCACCGTCTTCTCTGTGTAAATTGAGAGAAATAATATTCAGAGGATAATCAGAGACGTGTTCACATACACAGGAACACAGCAGGCAGCTCCACAGCTTCCATATATTTGACTAGGATAGTAGTTGCTAGGGAATCAGGGCCCTCTGCAAACAGCTCTGCTGTGTGACCTTGGTCAAGCCCCTTCACGATAGGGTATCTGTTTTCCTTCTCAGTTTTGCTTTTACCTATTTAGTCTGCAAACAGAGTAAGTAATGCCAACCCAATAGACTTAAGTGTCAGGCATGATACAGCAGAGAACTGCTCTAGTCTAAGCCTTTTGCTGCTTCTGGAACTTATAATAAGAAGGGATTAAAAAGCTAAGATATAATTACTTTATAAGAACTGAGCTTCACCACATTAATTTAAGAAGGTCATTTAAACTGGCAACACTGGAGAAAGACACACAGAAAGGCGAAGCATAACAGCATCAGCAAGCTAAGTCTCATAGAAACAGTGATCTAATATCAAGCACACCAATTAAAATAAAAAAGGGAATGGTGATTAGCTTTCTAAGGGGCAAGCAAAAAGGGACAGAGTCTGATTTGAAGGGCTCATGATGAAATATTTATCAGTTCTTACCCAAATAAATACTCAGCAGTTAGGAATTCTGCAAGTCTGGAATTGAAAAGATAATGGCAAGATTTTTGCTTTCTGGAACAGAATCCACGGAAAAGTTTCTTCCTCAAAGCCAAGAGAGCCTTTTGTGGGCATTTTCAGATAATAGTTTGCATTCTGGAACATTTCAGGTGATTCATATAATTACTAACACAGTATCAGCTCACTGATACTGATTACAATCCTCAGGTTTATTACTATTTTCCAGCTGTCAATTCTTGCCTTAAAATTAGCAATGTTCCCCTACCCCTGTGAAAGTGTCGCCCCAAAAGAGTTTACTTTAAGAGAATATAGCTGAGAATATAACAATTCTGACTCACAAGGGTAATCCAGATATTCAGAGCAATTCCCCACCTTATGCTTGCTGACTAGTGTCTAATTAGTCTAATATATTCTTTTTCCTTGGGGTTATCTACTTGATGCCTGCTACATTCTTTAATAGAAAAAAAATTACTCATGAGCTCCTGAGATTGGAAAACAGTTATAGATCAGTCCCTGCTTTCCTGGGATTAAGGTCCCAAGATGTTGCTCAATAACAATACACAAAGGAACCTCCAATGACGTATACTCTCCATTGCTGTCTCCCCAAAGGAGTTGGAGATTTGCTTCCAGTCCTTTGAGGTTCCCCCATCTCAAAAAAAGAAATTCAAAGGATCTCATAAGGAGGCCTGCACCCTGGTTAAAAATAGTTTATATTCCATGCCATCCATACGAGCACAGCTTTAACAAAGCTCCTTCAACTTGCGATTTTGCCAGCCACATCTGTTCCAGGGGTGGGATGGAGGGAAAGGAAAGCATCTTTCTGTTGTTTCTACAAGCTGTTCAGCAGAATCTTGCTGTCATCATCAGCTATAATAAACAAATCAAGAACAACAGACCTGTGAAAAAGTAGACCATCTTTTTATTCTGTCTTATTCTCCCCCTCCCCCAGTCCTCTGAACAGTTGATGGACCAGATAAATGTTTCTCCTCAGAAAATTAACCTTTTTCCTCCTGCTCAGGAGGAAAACCCAATTATAATGAATCCACTCAGGTATTAGTGAAGACCTGTCTCACCATACACCTTTACACCCAGAAAAAAGAATATTTTTTTCTCAGGACAGGCAGAAGACATTTCTCTGTTTTCTGCCTCTTCACGCATCCTCCTCTGAATCCAGAATTATTCATCAGCCCCAAAACTATTTCAGAAATATTCAGCAGCAATGTAGTTTTTTTTTTGAAAGGGAGCATCTGTACCTCCTACCCTTTTTACAGAAAAGCATACTAGCCACATTCACTGCTATTGCAGGCAGAAGGGCAGACCCACCTGCGCACTATCGCTTTGAAAAATTCAGCTGCATTTGCTTTCAGCCCAAACTACTACAAATGAAATGAGAGACTTCAGGGATTATTCCACTTTTAGCCTGTACTCATCTAAGAAGATTACCTTCCAAGATCAGCTTCCTACTTCATTTAGCTTTTTCTTGTTAGAGCAACAGCAGGAGTCATTCAAGTCTTTGGGCTTTTTATATTTCTCATTAAGTTTCTGTTAGATGAGAAGCCCATGAACTGGTACAGCAGCAACCTAATAATCTATGTGGAGTTGTTTTTACCACTGTTTCTACGGTGCCTTACCCTTTTTTGCTGCCTTGTCTTGAGTTTCCATTTACTGAGGTTTCTGCAGTTGTCCCAGTAGTGCTCTCTGCAATCACCAGGCCCTGCCACTCTTGGCACAGAATTTCCTGCAGCTTTCCCTGTGATGCTAAGATAGACCAAAAAGTGACAAATATCACAGCAGCAGGCCTTTAGGAGGATTGCACAAAGCAGGTAATATCTGACTGAGGTAATCCTTAGGTTCCCCACTGCAGCTTTTTGTTTCTGAAGCATGGAAAAACTGCAACACACCCTATTACTCAGAAACTGG